GGTGTACAAATGAAAATGCCTTACTGTCCGAACATTTCTATGTGTACTGATTCGTATGAATCCAAACCTGGACTCAGAAAGCTGTAAAACTGAGAAATGAGCCTATGAGGTTAAAAACATGAAATTAATTCGTAGCTCTCTTTGGTCCTGTGTGACCTGAATTACGACTCAGATCTGATTACAACTATTCATGTAAATCTAAGCCAGAAAAGCCACAAATCTGAGACTTTCAAAGCGAAATTCACTGTGCAATTCGAGTTACATATCTTGAAATGAGCCTCAATGTTCAGTACAACCTGCATTTTTTAACTCGGACACATATCCAGCCAGTACTATGCATCCTGAGCGAAGTAACTTAAAAATCCGAATTTTCGGCTTTATAATTTTATAATTTCACAAAACGACTAAGTCACAGAGTTGTCGTTTTCATGTCCTCTTCATAAAATGACGAGAAACGGAATGAACGAAAACCAGATTTTAAACCTTTATGTGCCCAGACCTATATGAACTTACAAACAGACACAGTTATTTATTTATTGTTCTTTTTTTTGTATTTTACTTATTGATGTGTTGGTGAACAGTGCGCATTAAGTAGTACTGCTGAGGTGAAGAAAAAGTTGACGGGTACGACTACATCACTGGGACAACCAATCCCTCTACAATTTGTTTATTCATTTCGATAGTCAACTGATTCCGAAATGCGTCAGGAAGTGAAACCTGTCATCGGCTTGCTTAAAAGCAACTCTCAGAAGAGGGAGCCATCGACAGCCTTGCCAGCGGGTGATTGCTTTCACAAACAGCGAAAGCGGAGGCATTTTAACTTTTGATTTGATATGCATATGCTTTGCAACATTTGCAAATATGTTCTTTTGTTACTAAACAATTCTTCAGGAAACAAAATTGAGCAGACAGTGGAATTATTCCAGGTAAGATGTAAAAACACAGTCAATAGCCCAAAGAACTCTGTGAAATTGGTTTGTTCGTGAAATCATGAATTTGTGAATTCATAGTTTTGTTCATCGATTACATATGTTTCGCATTAAGAACAGTGGAACGAGACACAGTTCTGTCACTCAGTGGAATGCTACTCTGAAGATTCTGAACAAATTTTTGGTGTGACTTCAATTCTGCCAATTTCGAGCATTTATTAGTGCGCGAAAAATGAGAAACCTAGACTACACGTATAAAAAGGCTGCACACCTAAGAAATGCTTAAAATAAGCTGAACGCGGATTACTTCCTGGAATTTTTGAGTTACAAGCTGATGGTAGTTTCCTACCTCGAACTATGAATCCATCGTATTCTAAAAGAATCGGAATTCATACCACTGCTTCAAATTTGAATAGGCATATCTGTCATTTTCCATCAGACGCCAACAAAACGTATCCGAAGGAACTAATTTGAAGAACAGTAAATTTTCAGAAGCACCAGAGATCCACCTCATTTTTGGAGAGAAATTGATAACTCCTGGCCACAAAGTAAGACAGGTCAACGACCAACGGTCAAAGCGTACATTTCAAATCTGGCGTCCGCCGATAAAATCAATGCCTACCTCCTAGTTTTCAGCAGCTCTGCTCGCTATTCAGTTTAGCACCTAAGAGTTTCAACAAAAACCAGTGATATTTTTGATATGAAATTTTTAACGTTTCATCTGCGAAATTAGGCACTGTCAGCTGGATCTGTTATTACTACTCTCTAACTGAACTTATATTTCTTTTCATACTGTCTTGCC